ATAAAAACAAAAGATGGTGATGGTACCGAACTCAAAACATAGTAGCGAAGAAATTGTATGAAAAAGTAGATTATTGTGTATGTTTTCATGTAAAACTTATTTAATTTTAAAAATCTAAGGAAAAGCAAATATTTCAAAGGTTTTTAGTTTTTTTCAAATATTTTGAGAACCGCGGGCTTTTCTTCCAATTTATAAATTTCATGTTAATAGGCTTGTAATTTCCCAACTTTTCTGTTATTTAACCGACTTTGTAGATCTTCAAATAAAAATAATATCCATATGACTTTACACATAGAAGAATACTTGGTGCACCCTGTATTATGAAAATTTATTACTGTTCTTAAAAATTAGTTGTTTGATCAGCAAATTGACTGTTGCCTAAAATTCCTAATTCAAAGAAAATCATAAAAGAGCTGAACTGCTGTTTTTATTTTAATCATCGTAAAAACTTTCCTTATCCGGCATAATAATATTCTAAACAACCGAATCATCCCCATTACAGTTTTGTTTTTCTCCCCCATTCAACTGTTCTTGGACGAGAAAAGGTCGGCCGGTCACATTCCCTCGGTTCTTAAAAAGACCAGTACGTGATGCTGGTCGAGTAAGTGGACTTTGTTTTAATTAGTTTAGAGGATAAGATCCAGGATTCGATGAGTTCAGTGTCGGAACATAATTAAATTTCGACCCACGTAATTAAAGTAAGTAAATTGCGTGTGTCTTAACTAACTGAACTGCTTTAATATTGTTACAAAATAAAAGGTACTAAAAAAGATTACATTATATATTGTGGGTATCGTTTTCTCGACCTAAAGAGCGTTTTTAACCCGATTTCATTCATAAATTCAAGTTTAATAGTTAAAGAAAGCATTTCTTTTAATCCCAAAAAGTTGCCATGGGAACTTTTGGGGATAATTCAGGAAAATTATCCTTATTTTATATAGGGTGTCCCGAAATACCGTTAACATATTTTGGGGGCGATTCTACATGCACAAATAAAAGAAACAGATGCCGATAATGCCTTCAGGCATTTTACACTGTTTCGCAAAATCAGGTTTTTATCAATTATTTCAGAAACGCTTGGTGCGAAAAAAATTATGCCTTATTTCAGGGGTATTTTTTGGGCAAAAAATCATGTAGTGGTGTCAAATCACATAAATGATGACCATAGGCCAGTGGCGGCTGGTGGATTTTGGGTATACCGATATCTCAATTATTAGATATGGGACCAACACAAAATTTTGTAGTTTATAATGACAGTAAATAAAAGAGTTCTGCGCAAGCAGAATTTAAATTAAAGTTTGCGAAAAAAAGATTACTTTTTGCTCGGCTGTACTGGCCCCATCGCATAAATTTAATTGGTGCATTTTATTATTTACCATAGTTTATCAACAAATTTCAAATTTCATTTAACAAATCCAAATTATACAGATTATATACCATTTTAAATTTTTAATATTTCTTTTCAAAGAAACGTAAAATTATCTGGATAATCAAGATCGAGATTCAACAAAACACCGAGTAGCCCCTATTTTGTACCCCCCGAAATATTCGTTAATCCTGTATCCTACTAGGACTTACTAGGATTTACTAGAACCTAATAGTTTTAATAATAAATTTTATTTATTTCTATTTTGTATACTCATAAAAAAACTGGAAACATTTATGGAAGTAACCAAAGTAGCATTATAGTGACGAAAACTGATATCACCACTTCAAATAAGTGGCAATAACGTTTAAATAACTAAATCTACCACGATACAGTTAAAATATCTTCATATTATATTAGCATAGTTGTAATCATGTGATTTGCACCAGCAGAATATACTTTATAGTTATATAACTTTTTGGTGTACCAGTCTATTAGTCTGGTCTCTGAAATATTATGACCACTTTTGACACCACCTTAAAGTTGTCTAAACTCACTCACATCACTTAAGTATTACTTTGAAGTGGTAGTAGTAGTAAAATGTGTATATCAGTTTTGCAACGTTTTCGGAACTTTTCCTAAGCCTTGAATGTGGAAAAACTTGATTATATAATTGCGGTGGTGATTGCCACGTTCTTGCTACAGGCTTAAGTGATTTCCACGTTTCGTATAAAATTACCACTTTAAAGTTCACTTCTTCAAAAAGCAGACATGTTTACAAATAGTATAAATAATATATAATATAAATAATCGCTATTGTAGGGAAATATATGTGTAGTTTTAATAAAAAAATTCTGGTTATTACCGCACCAAATTTAACACGTTAATATATATTTATTGGTTTCAGGTAAGAAATAATAAAAAAAAAATATTTTAGGCCTCTAGGTAAATAATTTTCATATGCGCTAAATTTATAGATTTTTTTATTCTATTTTATTACCACATATTTTAACAGGGCGTGCTTATATTTTAAGCTATGAAACCCATGTTTAACAGTAAAATTTAATTCGTGTTAATTTTATTCTCTTTAATTCTAGTTATTATTTGCAAGTTGTACTCTTACAATATTATAATTCAGTTTTAGTTTAATGTCCAGTCAAAGAAAGCAAAGATAATAAGATAAATAATATGCTGGAAAGAGATATGGATAGAAAGTAAAGATTAGTAAAGTTACGATTAAGTTTTGGCCACTATACCTCCACGTTATAGTAACGTAATCACAACGTGGTATTAACGTGTCTGTATACAATTCAAGAACGTTGTTAAAACGTAACTGACACTAAAAAAGTGTTCCCCATTTTAGTCACTTCCACGTAATAAAACCGATTCTACCACGTGGCAGAGATTTTGGCAATATACTTTACAGTTCCAAGTATAAGTGGCCAACACGTTTTAACCACTATAAATGCTACTTGGAAAAGTTCACTTCTTAACTGCCAAGAAACGTATTTTTTGAAATCATATGTTTGGTTGATTTGTTTTACTTAATATTGTTTTATTTTAATATAAACTACACTGTTTAAAAGTTTCACTATTTTATTTAAATATGATTAAATATGATAATACGAGTTAAATTTAATAAAACAAATAGCTGTTAATAATGGATACAATCCACAATTAATTAATAACATTTATAATAAAAAAAAATCCATAAAATAGCAATTAACCTAATATTCCCAATACCTAAGAACCCTATAAATACATACAATACTTTTACGTATTTAGGTACTAATATGAGACAGTTGTGTACTTTTCTAAACAAAAATAACATAAAATTCACATTTAAAACTAATAATAATTTAAGAAATTTTATTAAAAATAATAAATATAAGACAAGTAAAAATAATAAATCAGGAGTGTACCAATTAACTTGTGCAGATTGCCCTAAAACGTATATAGGACAAACAGGTCGCTGCTTTAAAACTAGAATTAACGAACATAGAAAATCATTTATAAACCAAAAAACAGATTCCACTTTTGCAAACCACCTTATTAATAAAAACCATAATTTTAATTCTAACTTTAAAATCCTACACATAGAAAATAAAAGTATGAAACTGAATTTATTGGAGCCAATGGAAATTAATAAATTAAAGAAAAAAACTGATATTATTCTTAATGACCAAATAGATACCAATAATTCCCCGTTATTAAACTTATTTTAATAAATTCAAAAATTTTTTAGTGTTATATAACTATAGAGATTACAGGGCATCCCCATAATTATTGTTCCTTTATTGTATAACGTTAATTTAATCTTCCCCAATATTGTACTAAAAATATTACCTGTAAAACCATCATTTATATAAAAGTAAAATAAATATTAGTTTGTATACGATCTGAAGATGCTACTGTGTAGCGAAACAATTCTCATATTTAAATAAAATAGTGACAATACAATTCATTAATATTAGAACCAATAAAATGCCAGCATTCCATAGTTCCGCATTTTATCCCAGCGGCAATATTTTTTATCATCTTGTTTACACGTTACTAAGAATTTTGACACTTTTTTTGATTTAACATCTGTTGTCATTTAAATTCTGTATTTGATATACAAGGTGTCCCGTATCGTTATGTTCAAATTTTGAGAGCATAAAGTAGACTTATTTTCAGGAAGAAAACCCGCAAAACTTGTATATCAATTTTTATTTGTTTAAAAGTTACAGGCCTTTGAATTACACAGGTCCACAAAAAAAAGTGGTCTGTGCTGGGTGTTGGACAAAGATTTTCCGACGTATTTTTTACCGCTGAACACGAATCTGAAGATAAATTCGGGGTCAAACTGCAAAAAACGAAGAAAAATTAAAAAAAACGATAAAATCCATTATACTAATATCGGTTATTTTAATTTTTCTCCGTTTTTTGCAGTTTGACCCCCAATTTTGACTTAAGATTCGTGTTCAGCGGTAAAAAATACGTCGGAAAATCTTCAGCACAGACCACTTTTTTTTGTGGACCTGTGTAATTCAAAGGCCTGTAACTTTGAAACAAATAAAAATTGATATACAAGTTTTGCGCGTTTTCCTCCTGAAAATAAGTCTACTTTATGCTCTCAAAATTTGAACATAACGATACGGGACACCTTGTATATCAATAAAATAATGAATTATAAACTTTAAAAGATCGATGGGTTGGTGTAAACGATAATGAAATTAAGGTAAGTTTGAATAAATAAGGTTTTTTAAAGTCTTTTTATATTTTAAAGCACATTTTAATTTTAAATGTCAATCTGACAAATTTTTAAATTCCTAAAATTCATTGTATTTTCTCACTAAATATAACTTGTGGTATGATTAATAATCGAAGATATTTACTCATTGAAACCGAAGCAGCACATTTCACTCGTCCTGCGGACTCGTGAAATCTGCAGCTCGGTTTCAATTCGAAAATATCATCGATGATAATCATACCACTTGTTATATTATGGGTGAAACTTTTAAACAGTGTAGTTTATATTAAATAAAACAATATTAACATGGAGTTTCATCAAGTAAAAGTCGAAACAATTAATTGTTTTACTTAAGGTTACTTTTAAAGAAAACTTTTTTATAATACTGAAACGTTAACTTACTCGTCAACCATGTAGTACTTCTCCAAGTCGTTGGCAAGACATCGTCCTTTTGTACTGAGGCGCGATCCTTCAATCAGGATCGGTTGTCGCACACCTGATTGAAACCAGTTCCCTTCCCATTTGGCAGGAAACCGACATGCACCTGAAACAGATCGAAAAAATAAACATTAAAAACTCACCAAAGCATGCAAACAAACAATACATCGAGGGATTTCGTGTGTTTTTACAACGAATGACCCATATCTTTTCTGTTTTTTTTTTCTGTAGCTGCTATCTGAAAAAAACAAATGACTTTGGCCTAATAAATCTTCCCACTTGATTTCATATTGTGTACGACGAATCAAAAGTGCGTAAAAAATGCGCACGTGTGTGTAACGGCCTACGTGTGTGCGATTCCCGATTAGAAAAAATATCCAACTGAAAATGTTTTTTTTGTTGCTGTTGTTGTTTTTTAAATCCTTTATGGGTTTTAAATACATTTTAAATTTAGTCTTTACTCCTGCATAAAACATATCTTATGTTGGTGTTAAATTCTCGTATATGAACATATAGGCGAGCTTCTGTATTGAGGTTAAGAAGCTTAAAATAAATTATTGTTTAAAGCCATAATCACGTATTTAGGTTATAAGTTTGTAGTAAATAAGTTTAAGCCTTATCGTCAATTAATCATTTCATAATAAAGTTTGTCCTGGTACAAATTCTAATAAACAAACTTCATGCTCCTAATAAATTGATTCATCGAAGCTTAAACCTGCTTGCAGCCGAACTTAAATTAATTGCCTTAATCCTTTTAAAAGGAAAATACAACAAAACCGATGAACATTCAGTTTAACAAGTTATAGCTACACTAATAATAGTATATTATAATACGAGAGATAATGCAGGCTATTATTCACGAGGATGAGGTTTGCGTCTCGAGTCGCCAGACGAGAGATCTCTCGTAGCATTATAGTGACGAAAACTGATATCACCACTTCAAATGAGCGGCAATAACGTTTAAATAACTAAATCTACCACGATACAGTTAAAATATCTCCATATTATATTAGCATAGTTGTAATCTGCACATGTTAACATAGTTATCCCAATTTTGGAATCTAATATTGGCCAGTTTGAATATTTTTATTATTGTAAGCGCCTCTTCTTTTTAATTTGTTACTGATTTATAACGTAAGCGCCTATATGTTCCCGACAAATAATCGTAAGCAACTCCGAGACATGGCGTTTGCGATTTAACATTGTGTCGCTTACGATAATATTGTGCTCCCGCCTTGATCTATCAAGGCGTTATTCCTGCTCTAAACAGTTTATTCGTGAGTATACCTGCATCGTGGTGATTGCTACCAAGTTTTAAAACAATATTTTATTTGATCAAAAGCTTATAATTCTTTTTTTTCATTGCATTATTAATAGTTATTCCAATTATAATTGTTTTTACGTAGTGTGGTTCGTTAAAAGTGTTTTTTTGTAGAAATTGTATGTTGTTGTCAAATAATTTGACTCAAATTTGTAATGGTTAGACCATAGTACCATGGGTTAGATCATGGAGCCTACACAAGGAGTCCGAACATCATGTAAACGGAGTTCCATTTTGAATCTCATAGAATCTGGTTGCTCTTTGAAAAAGTTGGTGAAATATAAGTGACTTCTGCACCTGGAGGGGAGCAAAATGGGATTCCCGGAATAGAAATATTCCTGGTGCTCGATAATATTCCTTGATTAGTCCTTTAACAAGGGATAAGAGGAATTTATATAAAGCTAGTAATTAATTTTATGGTTACATAATCTATTTGTGTCCACGTGTTCGTTAGACAACCGTTGTCCAATGGTTTTTGGATCTTCTGAAATCATTGGACGTTAAAACTAGTATCTGGTTAATAAGGACGTTTGTCCAGGACCATAAGGGTGGTGGTTAAGCCATAAATCCGCTCTAGTTAAAAGAAGAAGAAGAAACATAATGTAAACAAGAATCTTCCTAATATAAGAGGGCGCGTTTATTCTGAAACAATTGTTTAATTTGTACCGAAACGCTAGCATCGAAAATCAGCGCCGCTGGTGGTAAAAAAAAGTAACTTAATTTGTAGAGGGCAGGTTTTGTAAATTTCCCCTATTAAGTTCGGGCTCCTTGTATAGGCTCCATGGATTAGATACTGGTTTGTGAATAAAAATCGTTCGTTTTTTTCAAAGAAAGCTAATGTAGAATTTTATTTTCAAACATTGTTTGGCAAAATATCGTTGGTGATATTTTATAAACTAATTTTTTTGTAATTTTTTTTATTTAATAATAAAAGTAAAAAAATAAATATTTTTAACGATGTTTTGACAAAAGTAATCATCAAATCTATATCCCACAAAGTAACGTAAATGTAACTTAAGCGACAAGACTAATTTTATATTTTTCTAAAGATGTTCTTACAAAATATCGTATGCCACAAAATTTAATGAAAATTTTAGATTGGATTCGATCTTACTTAAATATTTGAATTCCACATTAATAAAATAATGCCTCACCAGTTTTCAGATAAATAACTTTAAAAATAAAGCTCCCACACAAAAAAAATCTCTCCTGTAAAATTTAGATTTTGTCAGATAACCATCGATATCGAGAGATATATCGAGAATTGTATTCCAATATTGTGAATTCAATAAAACCCATAAATGAAATTATGAGGATTTTTTCCCGAGTAGCCCCTGTTTCACAAGCATATGGTCTTAATTTATCCGATTTTACACCACCAGATGATTTTTTTTACAAAAAATACCCCAGTAATAAAGCATCATTATCGTGTAGGATCACCCTCCGAAATATATTAACGATATTTCCAGACACCCTGTATATATTATTAATTTTTTATTAAATATTTTTAAATCAAGTTGATATTATTGTAGCCTAAAAACCTTTATTTCTTTGCGAAATCCTTACAAATAAAAAATATGCATAATTTTAACCTATGTGCAAAAAAATTAAATCCACATTGTTTATTGTATCAATAAACAGAAAAAACTGATGTACGTCAAAAAGGATTTTATACGCAATGGATACAATGTTAACGTTGTAATGGTAGCATTGAAAATGGGATTGTATTTAGGCCAAAGTGGATAATACATACACATTGTCAGCGGCGGAAACTAAACGCTTCGCAGGGCGGAAATGAAGTTAAAAATTAATAGTTGCAAGTTCGGCAACAATGGCAACCTTTAACAGCCCCTTGCATGTTTATTTATTGTTCGCGTAATATTATTTGGGGCACTTTGTAATTGCCTGAAGATGAAGTTGTTGCGAAAATTTAATTTCAAATTGTGGCCCAACTCGTTAAGTTGTTCATTAATTAGGTTTATTTATTTCTTTGTTAGGATCTATTCCCACCTTTAAATTTTCCATTATTGTATCTGTTTCCATGACACTAAGTGATCTTTTGACATTGACAAGTTGTGGCTTTATGACGTTTTAGTCACGGGCTAAAGTAAGCAACAGGTTTTTAGTCATGGGCTGAAATTAGTTTTAAGTTATTTGACAGTTGTTAAATTCCATATAATCGTTAAAATAAAGTGCCCTTTTTGTGAAATAATAATGTGTTATTATTATTAAGGTCCGTATTTTAGGTAAACCACCTTTTGTTTTGTTTTGTTTTGCATTTGTCCGTTTTATAATAAATGGACTCATTATAAGTTTATTTGACTCAAAATACCTTTTTAATTTTTTTTGCACCTCTTATATAATATGAATAATACATAAATAATAATAAAGTTGGCATCATGTACCTAGAGTGTTTTGATATATAGTTGTATTCACAATGTGGTTGCATCAAAATAGTTGTTTTGCGGGTTGTTGAAAAATAATTAAATAGAAAGTAATTTATTGTTATTTATAATCTACTTCATTCTTTAACATGCCGAAAAAGAGATAAACACACAACACAACAGACAATAGTTAAAAAAATAAATGAATCGAAAAAGGACAATTTATTATTTTGCAAAGCTTGTGGTAAGTCGGTAAGTACCTACCTAACTACTTATTTATGTTTTTATAAAGGTTGTAAATTAAAATGAAGGGGTTATTTAACCTTACCTTATATTTTGAATATTGAAAATAGGACCTGAATAGATTTAGTAAAATAGTATTTAACCTAAGTTTATATTTTTTCGATTTTTTACATTTTTCCCTGTTGTATTTAGGGTTGTGGAACTGACCGGTCAAATTGTTTTTTTTGGCTAATTTACCAAAATAAATTTAAAAATAAAATAAAACAAATAAAAATTTTAAAATTTATATTTAATACAAATAAACGTTTTTAATAACATTATAAAAAAAATCAAAACATATTTCCAATAAAAACAAAAATAAATTTAAGTTTAAAAATAAATTAAAGTTTGTTAATAAGGCGTTTACTGCGTGAGTGGCCTATGTGACAAATAAACGGGATTTTAAATTTAATTTTATTGTACAAATTACAATTATTGTATCTTGGGAATCTTTTTTTTCGATTTTAGAGTTCCTATATGTTTTTTGTTATTTTACATTACGTATGATTTAATATGTTCACTTTTTTAAAGAATCATCTAATTAATTTGTTATTTTCCCAACCAAACATTTTTGTTCAGGTAATGTTAATAATAATTATTATTTTAATAACTATTTCATTTTGAAATTAAATCCAGTTTTATAATGTAACTAAAACTACATAAGAGCTATTATAGCTATAAAACTACATTATAGCTATTATAGCTAAATAGCTCTTATATGTATGGTTTTACAACAATATCGACAATATAATGAAAAAAATCTAATTAAATAAATGAGCTAATTTTACTAATTTTACTAACTATGTGACCTAATTTTGTTAACTTTTTTACTGTTTTTATAACCTAAAAATAGGGGCCAACCAAAATTATTTTTTTAATTAAGCACCTAAAATATACCTAGGTAAAATAATAACCTAATTTTATAACTATATCACCTAATTTAGGAACCTTTTTTTACTTTTTTATGACCTTGGTTATTATCTTAATACAAAAATAAAAAGTATAAATTAGTTTCCCAATACCTATTTAAAAAGTTTATATGCAATAGGGTGGTCGTTAAAAATTAAATTTTTTGCGACGCCCCCTATAAAGCTTTTTTTGATGAAAAAACACTAGAAA